CCAGGCTTTTCTGAGGTTCCTTGTTTTACACCTGATACTGCTGTAAAGTAATTCTGACATGAATCATTACATCCGATTATACCGCAACATTGCACCGCCCTAGTGCGTCTAGTCTTCTAATGTGAATACTTAATCAGACCATGTTTTGATGGTGTTTAATCATTTGCAGTGCACAGGACGCATACACTCCATCACTGAGTCTGAACACGCCAACTCATTGCTTGGGAATGGGAGAGGGGTTGGGCAAAATGATGTTTTCACTACATAATTTCTATTAAGCCGAGAGTATTACATAAAGTTCCTTACCTTACACCTATACTGCGGTGGTTGTACTGCAATTTTTCAAGCTTAGTTTATTCATCTAACGATTCCTGCGCGTTCGTGGGAATGAAAGAATGTCACGATCTTGAAAAATGACAGCGTCTCCTTCGTCATCAGCAGTAATTCTCTCCGGTTCAGTGAATTCGGTGAATCGCGTACTGAATTCCAAGAGCAACGGAATGAATTTAATGACACTTGGATACAATTAATGCAATACATTAGCAAACTTTATTACCGCAGTCGAATCATTGTATTATTTTATTTGTTACGTAAAACTTAAATATTGTTTAAAATGGTCAGATTGATCATAAGATGCCTGACTTTTTACCGTCATGCTCTACCTCCGTACCTACCTACATTATTCGACGTACATTCAGACTTCATGCTCTTACTAAGAGATCGATGTATTCCATTTATAGGTAGAAGAGGTCGGGTCCTTCTGCGTTCAGATTGCCCACTTTCGCTTGCAGATCACCTGAACGGTTTTTGCTCATGCCATGAACTTCTCTACTTTGAAACATTTTCTAATGCTTGTTTTTTGTTTTGTAGCTGTTTTCGACAGCCAGACGGAGCCTCATATTGATCTTGGCAGCGAGTGACAATGGGAAAGTTCTTTGCAGCGATTTTGCGTCCTTTTATCAATTTCGGTTTGGAGGCACGCCTGGAGAAGTTTTGGCGCAACTCAGCGAAAGGCAAAAAGGTGGCGTCAAAGCACTACGATCAAGACACAGAAATGCTGAAGGAAATGCAGACGAAGCACCCAGAGGTGATACAGATTCTAGAACGGAAGGATGAGAACCTCGACATGAACCTGAAAAAACTGGCCCTGAAGGAATCTGTAGAAAAAAGTCCTATGGCTGATTTGCGACACTCTGGTGTGTTTTCGTCGACGGCGCTAAAAACCGCCGCTGGTGCCTCTACGACGCCGCATGTCAAAATACCCC